GTGAACCAAAGCTTGGTTGGGCCGCGCGTTGTACGCATCAAGACGTGCAAAAACAGCATCAAAGGCCAATGTAACCCGACTAGTGCTGGTTGGAATTACTGGACCAGCACTCCTTGCACAGATCTCGATGGTTGCGGGTATTGCACACTGCAAGAGGAAGGATATCTGACCACGAACAACCTGCACAAATGAAAACACGTTAAACACCACAAAGGTGGAACGATCCAGCTCCCAGTGCCTGATGTTGTCCTCCGGTTTAGCGAGCATGATCAATGTTCGCCCTTTCCTTTCCTTGCCTTCTAATCGATCCAACTCCCATTCCCTCTGTAAAACATTTTGGTCCTCTCGAACTTGTGTAGGTGAGAGTGGAACAAGTATGACCCTTGTCCCGTTATGCATGCACGAGTATTTGTTGGAATGACCTTCATAAGTAACCTCGCGATCAAATTACCAAGGTCTTCCAAGAATAAGATGGGCAGCTTGCATAGGAACCACGTCACACACCAACTCATCCTCATATCTCCCAATGTTAAACTTCACAGAAACCTGCTTGGACACTCGCACTTCGCCGCAATCACTAAACCATTGAAGCTTATATGGTGTAGGGTGATCTTGGACAGGTAAGTGTAACTTCTTGACAAATAAGGCACTGGCGACATTGGTACAACTTCCCCCGTCGATAATCAAGCTACACACTTTCCCGCTAACTAGACATCGGGTGTAGAAGATGTTGGTACGCTGCTCTTCTTCATTTGTGCGTTGAGCACTCAATGCCAACCTTGTGACAAGGCCTAGTCCAACTGGTTGGTCAGGGGCAATTATCTCTTCTTCCTCAACCAATGGTGGCATGCCTTCATACTCATCCTCCTCATCCGTTAGCACTTCACCACTTGGAAGCATGAGCATGGCCCTTCGGTTTGGGCATTGGGACGCGATGTGACCAAAACCTTGACACTTAAAGCACTTAGTGTCACGGTTTCTAGGTTTAGATGCCCCTAGATCTGCCTTAAATTCGGCCCTTTGGATCGGTTTTGAAGATGAGGAACCAGGCACCCATGCTCCATTCGAAACCCCACTTGCCCTGGCTGACTTTTGTTCACTCGTGTGGGTAACCTCGCCTTTATACGGTGGAGTTCTCCAATTTCCAGATTGGACGCTGGAGCTGTGGTAGGGAATACCCCTCCTCTTGAGCCTCCTTTCCACCTTGACGGCTTTGTCCAATAATTCATCCATGTCAAGATAATGTTGGAGCTCCACAACATCTGCAATTTCAGCGTGTAGTTCTCTCAAGAAACGTGCCATGGTTGCTTCTATATCCTCCCGAACATCAGCCCGTAGCATGGCCATCTCCATCTCCTTGAAGTAATCCTCAACTGTCAAACTTCCTTGGGTGAGAGTTTGCAATTGATGGTGCAAATCCCTGTGGTAATACGCTGGTATGAAGCGCTTCCTCATGATCCTTTTGAGTTCTTCCCATGTTCGGATAATTGGCTCTTCCTCCCTTCTTTGTTTGATGCGAAGTTGATCCCACCAAATAGAGGCATAATCCGTAAATTCAAGGGCTGCCAACTTCACCTTTTGAGACTCCGTGTAATGGTTACAATCGAAAATCATTTCAATCCTCCTCTCCCAATCTAGGTATGCTTCGGGATCCGACTTGCCTTGGAAGGAAGGGATTTTAAGTTTAATCCCTTTTATTTCTTCCTCCACATGTCTAGTATCTCTCCTCGGTTTCCTTGGCTCATAGTCAAATTCACACTCAGAGTTAGAGTCATGAAGTTCAAGTGCAGGTCTATCACGGCTCCTTGGGTTTTGATGACTTCGTCTAGAGCTACTTTGGAACTCCTCCAACCTGCCAAGTCGTTCATTCATGGCCTCAAATTTTTGATCCATAAGGCGCCCCAATTCTCCTTTCAAACTTTCTGCCAAACGTGAGAAGTCGAAGGCCGACGTACTTTCTCCTTCATTCGACATATTCAACTGCAAGAAACGGTTAGCGAAAAATAGAAAAGGTACCTCACTTCACTCCCTCACGTGTTTCGCTCACCCTCGTGTATCACTCAAGTGTATCAACCACTCTAATAATCTCACAAAGCACTTCCCAAGTCACTCAAGTACTCCTCTTGAAGAAATAAAAAATTTCCCCAATGTATGCGCTCAATCCTTCCCCAAGAATCAGAAACAATACTCTAAAACACACCAACAAATACCAGAATTAATTTCCGGAAGACAACTACAGAATTTATGGAAGTATGGACTTGACAATAGACGCAATTTAGAAGACTACACCAATTTGATGACTGGACTGATTTTTTTTGTTTTTGGCCGCAACACTATTAGGACTATTATTATTTTTTTTTTCTGTTTTGCGAGACAAAACAGGTCTGACTTCAAGGTTTTAATACGGCCAAGGTGTATTCCACTTCCAAAGCAGGGTATACAACCACTCAAAGCAGTCCCAAACTCACGAAGTGCAAGTAATAATTTCGGACAGCAAGGGAACCAAAAGGTATGGCCGACAAAAGAAGCAAATCAGATTGCAACTTCAGCTAAAGGAACACACTTTGCTTGCTTGGCCGAACAACAGCAAGCAACAATCAGCTCTTTTTTTTTTTTTTTTTTAATTTGGGTCTGGCCGACAAAGGAGAGCAACGAGCAACTAAGATTTCATGCAACTCAGATTTCCATGCACTACAAAGGACAGCCAATCAGATTTCATGCACTGGCTATTTCCAAACTCAAGATTATCAAGATGGGTTCGATGCCTCCAAACCAGTCCACAACCCACGGATTGCAAGGGAACAAAACTGGACAGACCACAATGGAGACAAAGGAAACAACTCAGGTTTCTTGCACGACAAAGGAGACCAATCAGATTTCATGCAATTGCCATTTACACCACTACCAATTTGTATTATGGCCGACCAAGAAAGGAAACAAAAAAAAAACAATCAGATTCAGCAAATCAGATTCAGCTAAGGAATTCGGCTCTTGATTCGGCCAAGGGAAATCCAAACAGGCCACACACTTGCCAATTTTCTCCTCACAGCCCACAAAGCTCACAAATTATGAGTAGATAATTTCGGACAAGCAGCCGCTTCCCTCTATCTCTCCTTTTTTTTTTTTTTTGTTTCAAGACGCCTCTAGAACAACCTTAATGACTCCCACGGACAACCCTCCAGTTGTGGCAGCCGCACACAAACACAACACGTACGATGGCAGATTCGACTCAAGACAACAAAAGAGAGACGCAAAAACAGAAATTTTCACGTAAGGCCAAGAGGAAACAATTGCGGACTGACCTTAAACAGATTGTAGCCGCTTTCGGACAGAAAATTTGACTCTCAACCACGACAAACTACATCAAACTTATGCGGACAGATTGAAGTCAAACACGAACCAAATCTGACACAGCCTCCAGAAAGAACAACAACGCAAATAGGAGAGTAACAAAACAGAAAGTTCGACCCCAAAACAAGACCAAAACAAACGCGACAAAGCTTGGACAGATTAGAGACACTTGAACAGATTTTTTTTTTTTTTTTGACACACGAGATCAGATTTAATAACAAACGAATATGACTCGAAACAAAGCGGAAAGGAAGGATATAACCTGATGGTTGTCGTCTAGCTCTGGTACCAACTGATGTGAATCCCTGATCTAGACAACCAAAACACCATGGCTTAGGCAGCGGAAATTTGACCCAACTAATCCCTAGAAGTCACGAACAATTTTGATATTATCTCAACCCGTCACTACTCGAATTAACGAACCAAATTGGAGGTAGTAGAACGCCACAATCAAGGAGACTACTTGATTGATAAGTTCGATGAACAACTTGAGATTAATTCTCAAGTATTCAAAGGAAATTCTCTTGAGGCAAGAGAGAGTGAAATAACTCACATATATTTTATAAAATCTCCCCCTTCAATGAATGAAAACCTAGGCTATATATAGCCTTACAGGACTCAAACCCTAGAATGTCCAATGGACGACCTTGCCCTTCATTAAGAGTGAAAATAGTTAACAACTAATTGACTAAATTTAAGACTCTGAATTCGGCCAAAGTGAAGTGAAAATTGACCGAAATTATTAATGCTAACAAATACTAAAAACCCTAATTAGTAAGCTAGTACTCCGCGAACTAGTCTTCACTTGAATCTTCCAATCTGGAATGGGCCTTGGTCTTTACATTCTCATCACCTAATTTATTTATTTCTCTAAATTTTTTATTTTCACCAATCAAAATAAAGATATACACACATGTATCGATTCCTAAAATAAAACATATTAAAATGAAGATAAGGTATTTCCAATCCATGCACTCATCAAATCCTTTTAATTTGGTGAGATTTTAACTTGCATACACATGAATATATGAGATAATAGAACGCAGACATCAACTCAATGCCAATTTCATATATAAAAAGAAAAAAAATGAATGTAGATATTTTAAAAGCACAAGGACTAAGTCAGCAAATCTAACTATATAAAAGGAGGAGTTCCTTGAATGAACAGTAAAAGTGTATCCGTCGGTTATGTCGGTATTTATTGATATGTTTGGGCTATTGCGGTCCATTTGCATCAGTTCATTGGTGATTCCTCATGTGATTAGCATTAGCCTTAGTTAGTTCTTCATTTTTCGATAATGTCATTTGCTGTTTCTCCCCTACTCAGGACACCGGAAGATGCATGTTATAGTTGTGTGGTTCCTTTGTAATTTATTTGCTCTTTGTTCCTCTCTTGTTTGAGTCATTATCACCCCTTGTGATCCGTAGAGATGGGCCACCTTAGCTATTTATGAGTATTAGTTTAGCCTTAGGTGTTGTCTTATTTTCCAATCATGCCATTTATTTTTCCCTTCATTTAACATGTATTTTATATTTGCTTGGTTGCTTTGTAATTTTGTTGTTTTTTTATCCTAATTTTTGTTGACTTTTTTTTTCCACAAACGTTAACAGTTATATATGTGATAATTCCTTAATAATACAAGATTTAATTACAAAAAAGGGGCTACTACCCTCATTTCCTTCCTCACTAAATCCATCAGCCAAACTGGGAAATCTTGTTCCCATTCAATATCATGCACTAGCTGGACAGCAAATTGAGCTAGAACATGGCTGATTTCATTTTCTGTTCTAGATATAAACACAAACCTACAACTTTCAAAATGTGTTGTCAAATCTTGCGCATCTTCTAGAATAGTTGCAATGTTAACTTCATACTCATTGCTTCTATGTATCTGGTCTATTACTGATTTGCTATCCGAATGGATTATAATTTTAGTCCATCCTACCTGTTTAGCCATTAGCATTGCATTCCTAATTGCCAAAGCTTCTTCCGTACTTGGTTCCCCCTTATATTGATTGACTATCGCTTTTGCTTTCATGATCATTCCGTTCCACTTTCTTGCAACAATTCCTTGCCCCGTCCTTATCATCTTTGCTGATATCGCAGCATTCGTGAACATGCAAACATCATCGTCCCTTGCTGTTTCTCTTCGTGTCTGATGCTCACTGATGTTGGCAGTTGCATTCTGCTCCTTTTCTTCCTCCCTTGCTTGCTTATATTCCATCCATTCCATTTGTGCTTTTGAGACAATTTTGGGTGGGTTCTGGTATTCATTTTCAAAGACTCTTCTGTTTCGTGCTGTCCAGATTTGCCAAAAAATATTGATGGTGAGGCTCACTCGGTCAGGTCCAATGTGCTTTGAAGTAGATTGCGTAGCTTTCTCCCACCACAGCCACCGATTATATTGTTTGTCCTCTAATCCATCCCACCTTACCGGTGCCAATTTCCAAACATCCATCGCATTCACACAAGAAAAGAGTAAATGTTCTATGGTTTCTATTCCTTCTCCGCAGCAGTTGCACCTTCTCTCTCCTTGTCCAATCCTTTTAAAAATTACTTCATTGGTTGGTAAACAATTTTACAAACATTTCCACATGAAGTGTTTCAGCTTGGCCTTTACCTTTTGGTGCCACAGATTCTTTCACACCGTATGTTTTCTAACTTCCCAACTTGTCTCAGCATTGTGTGTTCAGTTTCTACTGATCTGGTTTTCCTCCTGCCGTGCCATTGCATACCCCGTTTTCACCGTATATGCTCCAGTCTTAGAAAATTTCCAGATCAGTTTGTCCATTCTCCTTCCAACGCTGGTGGGAATACGTTCGATGAGCTCAACCTCTTTGTTTCCAAACCATGTTTGCAAAATTTCTCTTATCCATCTCCCATCTTCAATCAGCTCACTCACCTAATTCAGGTTGCATCCCTTAGGTTTGGCAACCACCACCTTTCCATCTTCTGACCCTATTAACCATTTATCATTCTAGATACTTACTGTTCTTCCATCACCTATCCTTTTCCATAGTCCAGCAAACAACAAATTTTTTGCACTGTGTATGCTTTTCCAGCTCCATGATGCCGAGCTAGGAGGACTTTTGTTCATCCAATTGGGGTCCTTCATATATTTTGCCTTCATCATCTTGCTTACTAACAAATTTGGAGCAGTTAAAAATCTCCAAATTTGTTTTGCAATTAAGGCAATGTTAAAGGCTTCCAGGTCTCTGAATCCAATTCCTCCTCTTCCCTTCACCTCTGAAAGTTTCTTCTAGCTTGCCCAATGAATACTTGCCTCTTTCTCTCCTTTCCCCCACCAAAACCTTGCAATTTTCCTAGTTATTTCTCTACATAAACCCTTTGGGAGTATGAAACATGCCATTACATATGTTGGCATGGCCATTGTCACTGCCTTTATCAGCACTTCCTTTCCCCCTTCACTCAATAGCCTTTGTTTCCATCCTTGTAGTTTGCTACTGATTTTGTTCTTTACAAAGCCAAACACTTGTGCCTTTGATCTTCCAATGGCCATTGGTAGTCCCAAATATGTCCCATTCATTGCTTCCTTCATATTATCCAGGCCCTCGCTTATTTCTTGTTTCATCCTTTCTTTGGTGTTTTTGCTGAAGAATATTGTTGATTTCTCAAAATTCACAACCTGACCAGATGTGTTGCCATACTTTGTCAAAATGCTTTTCACCTTTAGAGCTTCCTGTTTGGTTGCTTTACAGCACAAAAGAAAGTCATCTTGTGAGAACCCGTAAATTTTCTCATTTTCTAGGTTTTATTCTATTTAATGGCATGTTTTTCTGCATTTTCTTTATTAGGAAAATTTTCTAGATAATATTTATGAGTAAATATAGTTTTTAGATGATTTTCCTAGTATCGGATCGTTTTTGAGAAATTAAGAGCGTATACCGGACGTGGGACCCGCTAGTGCGAAAAGTTCGAAAAAATTCGGCCACTTAGATTAAGTTTTGGAAACTGGGTTTAATTTACCGGGTGTTATGAGATAATTAGAGGTTACCAAGTGGATTGGTGTGAGAGGAACAAAGAGATGACCATACATTGACTAAAAGTGACAAGTGTCACTTGGAGGTTAATTTTACCTTTTTGGCTACTATTCATCCTTTTACCATTTGACTAAATAAACCAAAAAAATTGATCAAAATCACTTCATTTCCAAGCTTATTGTGGCCGGCTCTCTCCAAGCAAAAGAAAGGAAGAGCTCTCCAAGTTCTTGCTTCAATCTTGTTCAAATCCAACAAACCAACCATTTAATCTTGCTTTTGTTCCATAAAAACCCTTAAGTGAGTGATTGTGAGGTGATTAGTGGAGAGGTTTGGAGAATTAAGGTGCTAAGTTGCTCTTTTCTTGAGTTGTTAAGGTGAGTAACTAAGGGACCTTTCCTCCTTCTCAATAATGTTTAATTGATGACTTATATGAGATGAATTGATGGATTTAGGTACTATTTTGTGACTTTTGATTGAAATAGGTGAATTTTCCTATTTATTCATGATTTTTCTTTTTTCATATGATTAATGTTGTGTGGCTATGTATGACGGTTGGAAATGATATTGAAGGAAGCTAGAAGGTGTAAAGTGTGGTTAATTGCAGAAAATTTCTACTTTGGAAAGAAATTTTGGAAGTTAGGGTTTAATTTCCCCTCATTCTGCCCGGCACTGTTTATCATAATTAGAGGCTGAATTAGCCTTGGATTAAAACATGAAAGTTGTAGAGGATGGTATTTTATAGTTGCCTACAAAATTTCAGGCCAATCTGAGCAGCGTAGCTTGTGAAAAGACCGAAATATCCCTGCTGCCCTGTTTCTACCCGAACATGCTAATTCGTTTCTGTAATTGGTTGATTTGATTGGGAATACTACTGATTTGATTGCTAATATCTTCTTAAGAAATATAGCCTGGTATCTTAGCTTTCGGATGGCTTTAGAATCACTTGATTTGGACTGCGGTAGCCTGAGTTGTGGTTATTTAACCAGAATGCAATTTGTTAACTTATTTATGCAGTTCTGGTTTAGTATACTGAACTTTTGACCTAGTTTCACTACAAACTGGACTGAGTGGCCTTCTTCAACATTGTAGCCCTTTCTGTTAGCTTCGAAACGGAGTATATTGCACCTCCATCCGATAACCGTAGTGCTGGTGGTGCCAAAATCGCTAAACGATGTCAAAAAACCTGTTTTTAGAGTTAGAGCTTAACTTCATTTCCGGATTTTCCCTAACTTACTTTCGTACTTAAACATTCTAATGGAACCTTAATTTGGTAGTATGTGGAATTAGTTTATGGCTTATAATCGAGTTTTATTGTGCTTATTTGAATGTTTTAGGACGTGACGGTGGTTCAAGACGCTCTTTGGGCGGAGGTGTATGAAATATCATTTGCTTGCTTGGTGAGTGTACTACTCACTTGTTTGCTACTATGTGGCTTTGCTACACTTGACATCGATGATTTGATGGCTTAATTGCATTGTTGACCTTGATTGAGGGGAGGGTGTACTTGATCACTCTCACCCTTTTATCGTATATAACTGTTTACTGTATAATTGAGTGATACATGCAAATATTTGATTTGGTGTCATTTGGACGAGTATCCAACGGCCATTACTGTTATTACTGAACTTAATCCCGTTGGTAGTCAATTGAATCGAGCCGGCGAGGGCTTGGTCGTGAAAATTGACGAGCCACGGGGACTGTTATAAGGAATCATTGAGTATGAGACTCTTGGTTCTGGTATACTCGAGTATTGCTAAATTTTTACTGTTTGGAGTTCGGGCCCGGTAGGGGTATGTTGGGTGAACGGAATGGAAGTAAAGTGGAGCCTACGGTTGGTTACTCTTAAACGTTGACGGAGGGTCAATGAGGTCCGATCAAGAATGTAAGCGAGGAAAAGGGGCTTTTGAGAGCCGTCCGTATCCTTTTACCAATTTTATTAGTGTGTTTTGGTTTATTTCTTCCTAGAGGAATTGGAATGATCTGCTATATGCTTATTTGAACCTTATTGCTTGAATGATAGTATCTCATTGGGCGTAAGCTCACTCTATTCCTTTTGTTTTCCTTACGGGAATTTTGAGTACTTTTGGAAAGGCTATGCATATGGATTGCCGAGTTGAGCTTATGTACATATATATTTTGAATAGCTCCTTTTGGGGCAAAACCTTAAATGCATTTTAATCCAACCCATTCGATGAGTTGAGATTTGCAAGCCGTACATGTATAAACTTATGGGATAACTTTTGTATGCTATTTTGGTCTGTAAATGCTACATTTCAAGGTGTATATGTTTGATTGATGTTCGGCACCGATTTTCATTTTTTTTTATTTTGGAAATTTTGACTTGTTTAAGCGCGCTTGTATGTCCAGAACGTTTTAGATCGCTTCAAACTGTCCCGTTAGTCTTGGCGAGAGGTGGGCAGGCAGTCCGCTAACCCCTTTGGTTCGCCTCAGGGAAAGATGGAGTTGTCACAGGTGGTATCAGAGCCTAGGTTTGAATTGGTCTGGGCGTATTAGAAATGCTCGATTTGAGGATTATTTTGAGTATGTCCCTTAAGGTTATTTACGTTTACTTACCCTTCTGGTGTAGGATGGACGAGTCTAGTGGGCCGATTGGTAGCCTAGCCGGCGAGCGACCTCGTGGAGCACTCCCAGTGATCCCATACCAAATTCGGCCAAAAGGGGCCGTTGTGCGTTGGAGCCCGGCCAACTGCCTTCGACGTTGCGAGTGTCGTCACACGTACGCCTATCCTAATGCCTTAGTATTGGCCGTGGCCGAGGAACGGAAGGAGTTGGCCAAAGATAATGCTAGGCTTGAGGCTGAGGTGAACCAGCTTAGAGCGACCAACGGGAAACAAGTTGAGCGCATTAAGGAGTTGGAGTATGATGTGCTTGAGGTAGAAGATCGGGTAGATGACCTGTGCACTCAGCTTAGGGAGGCACGTGAGCGTGAGACTAAGCGAGCTCGGAAGGTTAAGGGTCGAGCCGCATCGATCCTGAACCTCTGCGGCGACGTGCTCGAAGGAGTGAGCGACGAGCCGTCGTGCACAGGGGCCGGGGCAGGAGGTCCCAGATTCCTCGGAGGTCGTAGAAGGTACGATCCATATCTTCCATCGTTTTGCCAAAGTTTTAATTGATCCTGGTGCCACTCATTCCTTTGTTAACCCTGATTTCATGTGTGGCATCGATATAAAACCTGCTAGTTTACCATACGACCTAGAAGCTAGTACACCTACGGAGAATCAACGTTTGGTTACCAGTATGGTTTATAGGGATTGTGAAGTGTGGGTAGGAGAAAAGAGATTGTTAGGAGATTTGATAAGCCTGCCCATTATGGGGTATGATGTGATCTTAGGTATGGACTAACTAGTTAAGTATAATGCCCAACTGGATTGTAAAACGACAGTGGTAGAATTCCGCATCCCCGATGAGGCAATCTTAAGGTTGGACATAAGGGGTA